ACACTGAATCTGATGGCACCTCAATCTTGGACTTCCGAGCCTCCATAACTGAATAATATATGTCTGCTGTTTTTAAGCCACATGGTCTATGATATTTTGTTACAGCAGCCCAAACAGACTAAGAAATATTCATTCTTATATTTAATGAATATTTACTGAATACCTTCTGTGTGCCATGTTAGGTGTAGGCGCACAATAGGAAGCAAAATAAATAAAACCCCATCTCATAGCTTGGATGGTATTGTAGGTTATTATTAGTATCCCAGGATCTGAAGTCAGACTGCCTAGGCCAAAATCCCAGTTCCATTACTAACTGTGTGACCTAGAACACAACTTAAACTCCTGGAGCTATGAGGAAGAGAGATGGAATTCAGAACCAGAAAGGCGAGGCATTAGACTAGGACTTCACCTTGTAAGTAAGGATGAACCTGAACGGGACTGGCCTTCACAGGGATTCCAGCCCAGCGTCAAATAATCTCAATCCTTGACACTAGATGAAGTGATCCCAGAATGCTAGTGCCCACAAGTGCCTGGCATAAAAATTAAATCTTCTCTGGAGAAAAATAACATAGGGTCAAAGTAAACTATTTCTACAAGCAATTTTTCTAAATATAACACAACATAAACAAAAACACAAAAACTACTAGAAAATCTCTACTGCTACTAAAGAATATCTTTGTGACGTTGGGGTAGGCAAAGACTTATTAAAGAGGATGCTAAGGGCACTAACCACTAAAAAAGGGAGAGGGCTTTATCAAAATCTGAAATTTCTGCCCATCAAAAACTAGCATCAAGAAAATAAGTAGGGAACTGAATCTTCAGGCCTGCAGAGCACCAGGCCAGATCACGCTACTCCTCCAGGTTCCAGACTTGCCCAGTGGACCCAGCGGCCAGGCTGGCCCTTATGAATACCGGCTCCAAGTTCATCCCATGCCAGCCAGATCCTGCAGCCCAGACTCCAGGCCAACCCTGTGAACTGCGTCTCCGGAATCACTGCGTTCAAACGCTTTGCACAGCCGAAATAAAACTCCTAAGAGGGTTTGACTTTTTTCTGGTTTGTATGTGCGTGTGTGTTTTGGGAGGGGGGAAGCCTCTGGTGTCTGGCGCCTGCGGGTTTCCGTGCGGACGGCGCAGCTGCGCGGCGCCTCGGGACAGCGGCGGCAGAGCAGGGACCCGGCGGGGGAGAAGGACGGGGGTCCCCGACACTCACCGACCAGGCCTCGCCGCCGCCTCCGCCGCTGAGGGGCGCGTGGACCCAACGCCCTCCCCAACCGTCCCCCA